GGGTGGCTGGCTCATGCTGTGCCAGGTGCAGGGTCTGCTGGCTGGGTGCTGGCAGGCTTGCAACTGGCACGAGCACTGTATCCAGACTGTGCCCCTTTAAGGGCTCCGGGGCCTTGAGGGGGGCAGAAGAGTTTCCCTGGTTTGGCCCAAAGTGGCCACCAGGGCAACCTGGGAAGGGCTAGCCTCCAACTAGTTCAAATTAAGTGGCTACACAGCCCTTAATTCGAACTACTTAATTCGAACTAGGTGTTAGTCCTCGTAGAATGAGGTTTACCTAGTTCAAATTAAGCGCTCCGCTAGTTCAATTTCAATTCGAACTAGCGGTTTGTATGTGTAGCCCCTATTAAAGTTAATTCAAACTAGTGGCTGTTAGTTCGAATTAACTTTGTAGTGTAGACATACCCTGGCAGCCTGCCAGAGGCTAACCCTGATGAGCTATGTTTTGCTGTGTGGTGTCAATGTACCAAAGGTTCCCCATCCTGGTTTATGATGATGATAATTTATCATAGGTGACACAGTACTGAAGCTAATTTGTCCCATTCTGACAGCTAACACTATAACATTTAACTTAATTATTTTCTGTTGTGTCGAAATGATAGAAATGTTTGTAAACTAGAGAAGCCTATGGTGGAACTGTAGAGAAAAGCTACATTGTTCAAGTACCTGTCTTAAAGTATCAGCAAAGATTTACCTGATAAAAGGAAGCAATGGAATTGGGTTTGTAGCCTCAATTTCTAAATGTCTGAGAGAACTTGAAAAGCCAACAGATTGTCATGTACTTGCCAATTTTTTAACACACTTCATTAGAAAGAACCAAATGAATCTGACATCTTATCTAGCCTGTTGACTGTTTAGCAGTGTTGAGGAGCCTTATAATAGGGCCCTATCAAATTCACAGCCATGAAGAATGCACCACAGACTGTGAAATTTGGTCTCTCCCCATGAAATCTGGTCTTTTGTTTGCTTTTACCCTATACAATACAGATTTCAAGGGTGAGATCAGGGTTCCTCAAATTTGGGGTCCGTGACCCAAAGGAAGCAGAAGGGGGGTGGGTAGCAAGTTTATTTTAGGAGGGGTTGTAGTATTGCCAGGCAGCAGTTGGATGGCAGCCCAGCTCTGAAGGCAGTGCAAACATCAGCAACACAGAAATAAGGGTAGGGTACTGTAGCCAGACAGGAACCCCCCTGTAACATCCATCTTTGCTTGCCTGGAGCATGCAGGGCACACAGAGCAGTAAGCCTTGAACAGAAGGCCTGGATATGGCAGGCTGCTGTGACCGTGAATTGCTGTAAACAGAGATATGCCAATTGCTGACCAAGAGGCTGCTGAGGAGTGCCCTTGACTGAAACCCATATTGATACAACACACAGCCATCCACGGGGGGAGGAATCTCTCGCCCAGTAAAAAAATGTCCAGTACTTAAAATTTAGTTCTCTCTCTTGCAAGTGTAAATTAACTTGAAACTTGCTTGTAAGAACTGGCGCCACAAAAATGGACCAACACAATTTGGCATCTTAGATAAGAAAGAGGATACAGGCCCCTATCGGTATAAAGATGGGTCCAGCAGCACATTTACTCTGAGTGTCAATCTACCATCTATCTGCCGGTCGGGTTAGGTGTTTGACCTCCCGAGGTTCCACGGGGACGCCCACCTCGTATTCGTCTTTCCTAGGGATTGAGGGACCGGCCCTAGCTTGACCCGCTGGAGTCGAGAGGCACAGAAGGGCGTAAAAATTGTACCTGGATGTGGTCCTTTGTCTTAAGTGTACACATAGACTTAGAGCTCTTTAAAGATTAAGTTGTCACTTGGTACCATTATTTCTATTTTCTATCTTTATTTTCTTTGTAACCATTTTTAAGATCTATATTTGCTAGCAGTTAAGAAATAGAGCAATAGCCATTGTAACCATATGATTTATAAGCTTCTTTAATAAACCTTTAACTGTTTAAGCTTTAACCTGACTCCTTCAGTTGCTGTAACAGAGCCAAGCACAATTTAAAAGAACTTCAGCTGGTCATAAGGGACAGGTACAGGAAGAGCTTGGGCGTTTTGAATCGTGTCCCTTCCACTATTTGATCTGAGGAAGTGGGTCTGGCCCACGAAAGCTCATCATCTAATAAACCATCTTGTTAGTCTTTAAAGTGCTACATTGTCCTGCATTTTGCTTTAGTTGACAGTAGCATTGTATACTTCTGGTTGATTCAATTGCTTATTTTGGGGGGTTCAAAGCCCCTGTACTCCCCTTGGGGTGTCAGGACTCTGCTTGTCACACATGCAAGAATGAACATAATACAGGAATGTTTTGATGGTCTTGGAGAGCTTTTCCCTCAGTGCCTGTATTAGTCACAGTATTGTGCTGGGAGTGTTATATTGCTGAAGATGTCATTTTTAGATAAGAGGTAAAGTTAAGGTGCTGATCTCACTCTGTTATTATAGGTCACATGCAACTTTTCTTAAAAGAACAGGACTAAACAGAGTGTGCTGTCCAAATTCGCAGGAAATTGCATTTCCCTGCTGTGTGTCTATTCTTTTGCTATTTCAAATAAATACCATATTTATTTCCTGCCTAAAAAGTCCAGTAGTTTTGCTACATGCTGTTTGATCACAAAGTTTACTACGTTTCAGAGGCAGAGTAGGTGGATCACTATGTATCTTCTATAATGGTTCAAAAAGTTTGTGAATTACTTTGGGATGAATATCAATATATTGATAGAAGATACTGTATTCATAATACAGACAATACAACATTATTTGGGCCAGATTTTCAAAAGTTTATCTGTCTCAGAGTGCCGTTGATTTACGAATGTGGAAACGATAATGCACTTTTCAAAGGCCTGTTTCCTATGTGCAGTTTTGAAAATCTGAGCTAGATACTGGAGCCATAGTGCATTTTAAATATAGAATCATAGAATAATAGGACTGGAAGGGACCTCAAGAGGTCATCGAGTCCAGCCCCCAGCCCTCAAGGCAGGACCAAGCTCCGTCTACACCATCCCTGACAGATGTCTATCTAACCTGTTCTTAAATATTTCCAGAGAGGGAGATTCCACCACCTCCCTTGGCAATTTATTCCAATATTTGACCACCCTGACAGTTAGGAATTTTTTCCTAATGTTCAATCTAAACCTCCCCTGCTGCACTTTAAGCCAATTACTCCTTGTCCTGTCCTCAGAAACCAAGAGGAACAAATTTTCTCCTTCCTCCTTGTGACACCCTTTTAGATATTTGAACACAGCTATCATGTCCCCCCTTAATCTTCTTTTGTCCAAACTAAACAAGCCCAGTTCATGAAGCCTGGCTTCATAGGTCATGTTCTCTAGACCTTTAATCATTCTTATCGCTCTTTTCTGTACCCTTTCCAATTTCTCCACATCTTTCTTGAAATGTGGCGCCCAGAACTGGATACAGTATTCCAGCTGAGGCCTAACTAGTGCAGAGTAGAGTGGCAGAATGTAATACAAATGATTTTTAAACCTTGCTAAAAATGAATATGCTGTTACATTTGTATGTTATTTTTCTCAGTGCATTGGAATGAGTCATTACTTCGGAAAAATATGTGTGATATGTTTCCCTGTTTGAATATAGGGTGGTGGATTAGCTAACTTTTAATCATATAATTTATATTTTATACTTGTTGTATAAGCTCTGCTAAATTACCTTTCAGCTCAATGAATCAATAAATGCAGTTGAGTAGTAGTTGAGTAGTAAAGAGAATTTTTCCTCTTTTTTGTGCTTTTGTACGGTTAAAAGTATGTGATATTACTATTACTTTCACTAATCAAAAAGAAAATCTTGTGAGTTGAACCTGTGACCATACAGCTCCACCTGCTGATCAATCTGGGAATTAGCTCCACAACACTGGAAAGTCCGTCTCCTCCTCTCCCCCTCCCCCCGTTGGTGTCCTGCCCGTAGTTACCTGCCCTTTCCAATTTTCCACCACAGTGCTCTGTCAGGTTCTGCACCCCTCCCAGACTTTAGTGCCCCCTCCACTGGTTCTTTCCCTCTCGGCAGTGCCCATGTCCATCTTCCTCCTCTCCTAGGGGACTCCGGTACTTCTACCCCCACCACTTGCGTCAGTGGCCTACTACCTCTCTTCTTCTAGCCCCTTCCTTCAGGGGCAAACTACGGTCTTATTTGGCAAGGAGGAGGGAGTGAACCCACTGCCTATTCCTACTGCTCCTATGTAGCTCTAATACCTCCTCTGGGCCCAGTATCACACCTTCAGCCTGGTAGAGGGCTAGGCCAGAGCTTCCCTGTAATAAAGAAGCCCTCATCTCTCCAAAGCTGGAGAGAGACTGAGTCCCCTTTGCTTTTCTACCCTTTTTATTCAGGCCAGCTGAGCCTTGGTTGGCTTCCTTCAGCCTCTTTCTGAATGTCCTCTGGCCCCATCCCTCTAGAAGAGCTATTTTAACCCCTTCATAACCAATGTGCAGCAACCATCCCATCACACTGCTACACGTTTGACAGCAGTCCAGATATGACTTGCTTCAATTACGTAAATGTATTCTGGTTATTTAGCATTCAGTGATCACACTGATATTGCTACCATTTTAAAAGGTTCTATATGTTTATGAGAGTTCCCTATGTTTAAAATGTGGAACATCCCTGGATTCGATCGTTTCTGTAAAGATCAAAGAAATATTTCGTGCTTGATTGATGAAAACACCATCAGATGAATCTTAGAACGGCAACATTGTTTTAAAGTTTGAAAATAAAGCATTTTTACTTTATTTTACAGGCTGACCCAAAAGAGCTGATTAAGATGGTTACAAAACATGTTACGCAGTGTGGCCATGCAGACTGGCCTGAAGAAATAGCAGCTTTGATTAAGCAGCTGTACTACTACAATGAACGACTATTGGATTTCACTCAGGCTCAAATCCTTCAAGGCCTCGGCAAAGGAGTAGATGTTCAGAGGTTTACAGCAGATAGCCAGTACAAAAGAGAAACTATATTGGGTTTGGCGGAGTAAGTAATGTCCTTATATGTTTTTTGTTTTGTTCAAGTGGTAGTATTTAAAAACAAGGCAATACATTTTTAGTAACACTGTCTTTTAGAAGGACTTATTAGTTATCACTTACTTTGTAGGTTTATTTTGCAATAAATGGGCTCTTTTTCCTTCAACTACTCTAGTCAGATGAAGAGCCAGCCAAGTAGATCAGTAAGTGCAGATGCTAAGAATACTCTTTCTGGTCCACTGCCTTTTATCTTTGTGCTTTAGTTACTGAAGTTACTGTCCCTTAAAACAGATGCCCTAAAAGGGGAAAGAATTCTGAACCACACAAAAAACATAATGTCTTCTACTATTGAATTTAAATATATTCTAGATAAACCCTGTTTTAATGTTGATCATTTAGTTAGAGCATACTTATATTGCAAAATGTATAAACTTTCTTTTTCACACATCTGATAGAATGTACTTAAATATCATCCTCATACCGTTGACTAAAGACCCATCTTTTTTAAGATTTACCATACAGTTTTCCTATTGAATTGTAATTCCAATGTCCAGAATCCCTTAATTCTAGCATTGAAATTCTCTAAAACACGCTGTAAAGCTCCTCCTAAGACTTGATTCATAAAGAAATGATGATGCTGAGCATCAAAAACACTTAACTTATAGGTGCCTAGAAAAATCACTGGGATTACCAAAGTCTGAGTTAGGTGCCTAGGCTCCCTCTATAAAGAATGGGGAGATATAAGCACCTTAGAATGAAATTGACAAAATCCAATAAGTGAGGCAGCTCCTTGCCTAAGTAGACTACAGGAGATGCCAAACTAAGGAGTCTTTTGCTAAGACCCTTCCCTTTTGGAGGTAAGTACTTAAATACAGGCTACAGGGACTTTCTTTCCTCTGCTTGGGATTCTCATCTCCAAACCTTGTCTTAGCATTTGGCGCCTATACCATTTTAAGCAAGGAGCATGGAATGGGGGAGTTTTTAACCCAGTGGTTCATGTACTAACCAGAGATGTGGGAGATGCTCTGTTTAGAACATGTTCTACCTGAGGAGGGAAGAAGGGATTTGAACTGGAACTTGCCATCTTTGAGGTGAATCCCTTCACCACTGTACTACGGGCTATTCTGCAGTAGTGCTTTTCTCATGTAGTGAGAAAAGTACTATTTATATTTTATACTTGTTGTTTAAGGTCTGCTAAATTACCTTTCAGCTCAATGAATCAATAAATGCAGTTGAGTAGTAGTTGAGTAGTAAAGAGAATTTTTCCTCTTTTCCTTTTTTTTGTGCTTTTGTACGGTTAAAAGTATGTGATATACTATTACTTTCACTAATCAAAAAGAAAATCTTTTGAAAAGTGCTATTCCACTATGGATAAATAATTTTTTTTAAAAAATTGGAGTGGTGACTGGACCCCTGGTCTTCCACCTCCCAAGGGAGGGGGGTCTAACCACCAAACCAGAGAATTAGTTTGATACTTGTTCTCTCTGGCTCAATATTGAATTTGCTCCACAGTGGATAAATTAATGAAAGAATGATTTGGGGCCAGAGGGTGAGAGGAAGAGAGACATTGAGAAAATGGTTAGAAAAGTCTCCTGGGAGGTGGGGGATCCAGCTTCTTGTGCCAATGATGTTTTAAATATTATTTATCCATAATGTGAGGGCTGCAAAGCAACAATACTTCTTCTAGTGGATTTTTCTTAGGCCTTTTTTTCCCCTAAACGTCTTAGTGTGACCAGTTTCGTTTTTTCTTGCTGTGTTTTATGGTTCTCTCCTGACAAGAACACTTGAAGAAAATGTGTACAAGATTGCTCTTTCCTTGGCTCACCGTTACAGCGTTCCACTTTGGGAAGTGTACATGACACATCTTGAATTTCTGTTCACTGATAGTGGGTAAGTGTTGAGGCTCGTCTGAATTAATTTGCAGTTCTGTTCCGTTGAGGTATGATCTATTCCAAAAGAATTCTTATGGCAGAAGGAAGCAGCTTTTGTTTACCATATTTGCTTTACTTTCAGATGGCATGCTTCACATTTTCCATTCATTTACATTTGAATTAGGTCTTCCTTAACAACCCATAAGGAACAATAGATGACATGGGGGTTAAAAGGCTTTGAAGGCTTCCTGAGCCTTCTGCACCTTTACTGTTTTTCTTATTCAGTCTTTTGGGCTTCGAATCAATGTACATTCCTACAAATTCTTCAATGTTTAGACCTCTGTTTTCACTGAGCCCTGACATCTCTGAATTCAGGGCACTTCTTCTGATGCCTTAGCTTTTAAAAATGGTCTTATGATATGGATTTACTTTTTTTCTGAAGCAGTGTCAACTCACTAATGGCTGAGGCATTCAGTATTTTATAGAATTTTGAAAACAATGTTATTTTCTTCAAGCAGTTTCAAAAGATGCTTTTCAAACCTCAAATGTGTGTGAAGGATGAAGTTGGACCTTGTGGGGGTCATCAGTTACCACATTCATTGCATGTATTGTTAACAGTAGAAAAAGATTTTTAAAAGATTAAAATTAGGAGAAAATGTAACATAGAAGAATGTTGCTGTCATGTCTATGCATCTAATGCTACTAAATGCAAATGTCTGAATTATTGGAGAAACAGGGGTTCAGTTTGAACTAATGTGTCCCAGCGCGCACTGTCACTTTCGAAACAGCTGTTGATCAGAGTAACGCGCCGGCGAGATCATGCTAATGAAGCGTGGGATATTTAAATCCCCGCTTCATGGACTATTTTGAATGCCTATATTTGCATCCCTAGTTTGAACTCGGGTGCAAGTATAGACATACCCTAAGAGGCTACGTTAATTGTCCTTATAACTGATTCGGATGGCAGCGTGTCAAGCTCTCAGTATAAATTCAGCACAAAGTCAGTAAACCCAGAGCAATTCTAATCTGTTGTTGAGAAAGTCACAACTAAACCAGTTTCAGTATTAAAAATGTTATTTAAACTTGAAATAATTAATGTAACCATAGCCTTAAGTAGCACTTGTACCCCTTTTAACATTAATTATTAATTAAAATGAATGAAAAAGTTATTGTATTTTATAAAACATGAAACATAAGAGATAAAACCACTTACGTAGTGGAGAGGTCTGAAGATGTTGTGACAATCTGAACTTTTATTTCTTAAAAACAGTAGGAGAAAAAAGCCATCTGGTAAATTCCATCATGTCCCTATATTATTTATTTTAAAGAAATAAATGACACACAAAGTGTAGTATCCTGGACCCATTGAAGTAAATGGCAAAGATTCCACTGACTTCACTGGGGCTGGAATCTCACCTCAGGCTTCTCCTATTTTATTCATTCTGTCATCTGTGAATTAGTATTTGTGGAAGGCTGTAATAAGTGGAATGCAAAATAAGGTCCTTTTCCCCCCCAATGAAATTCAAAAGTGTATCCTTTAAAAAAAAAAAAAAAAGGATAATCATATAGCACCCTGCAGAACATGCTTTAGTTGCACAATAATCTTATTTTAAGGATGATTGAATTAAAGCATGTGTCCATTACAGGATAAATCACTCTAGGGATTATTGTATTAAGAATGCATGCCTAGTTGTCATTAATGTTGAAATGAAATATGTTTATTCTAAGAGTTACTCATTGTTAGACAAATATGCAGTATTTGTATAATCCACTTTATGGACCATATCTAAAATGAAACATTTTATATCAGTAATCATTGATTACCAGATAACAGTAATGATCATATTTTGTTTTATTATGCTATGTCAGAATTTGTAGTGATAACTGCTTCTTCCTCTAAAAGGAAGGACTATTGATCGCAGAGGTCTATGAAACATGTTGGCACATTGTAATTTAGTGAAATGCTGGTTTTAATATTTATCATGTGTCAGTAAATGTATTCTAATATCTGTCTTCACAAGGTCATTAAAAAGTGCAGAATAGGGGAGGTTTAAGTGTGGGTCCAAACTGAGGAAATAGCTTAAACTTTGGCTGTGGTGAGAGAGGGGGGAAAACCCTTTTTATTGTTTTCATTAGCATTGCAGAGCCTATACAGCTATGAAGAAAGAAATAATAACATTGTCCTAAGCATCATTGTCTAAATTGTCAATTGTTCCATGTGTCAAATCTTTTTTTACAATAAAAGGTACTATTTTAATTCCAACTGAAACAAGATTGAGGCCAGGTCTACACTGCAGGGGGAAGGCCAGCTTAAGGTACAAAACTCCAGGTACGTAAATAATGTAGCTGGAGTCGACATATCTTATGCTGAGCTTGGCGCCATCTCACAGCAGGAGGTTGACTGCAGAAACGCTTCCGTCAACTTCCCTTACTCCTCGTGACAGTGAGGCATACTGGTGCTGACAGAGGCATCCTCAGCATTTGATTTAGTACTAGAACCACTAAATTGAACCTGAGAAAATTGATCGCCAGAGGATCGATTCTCTAGTAAGTGGAAATGTGGCCTGAGTTTGCAGTTCTTAGAGTGAGAAACATCGTTGGAAACAGAGCATATTCTGTTTGAAATCATAGGTAAATATAAAACATCTCAGGCTATGTCTACACTGCAAGGTTTTTGTGCAAAAACCTGCGGAGCATCCACACCTCAAATGCCCTTTTGCGCAAGTAAATCAGCCGTAAAACAGCAGAACAGAGGGCTTTCGCCAGTGTAGGTAAACCTCTTTCTACGAGGCATCACTCCCTTTTGTGCTACAGCTATTGCGCAAAAAGGCAAGTGTGGACGTTCCAGAGGGGTTTCTTGCTTTTCCTATGGGGAAAAAGCACAGGTGCTCTGATGGCCATTCTGGAAATGGCTATCAGAGCTTTCTTGCGCAAGAGCATCCATGCAGTGTGGACGCTCTATTGTGCAAAAGCACATTGCTTTTGCAATGCGCTTTGCGGTGTGGATGAGTTTTTGCACAAGAACTCTTCCGCAAAAGATTTCTTGCGCAAAAAGCTTGCGGTGTAGATGTAGCCCCTATGTTGCTTTTATAGAGGCAATATTAACGATATAACTCCATTCAATAAAAAAGAACAGATAAGAAAACAATAGACTTACTGGGAATGTCATTGTGCATTAAAAACTTCAAATTTGTGCTTGTCAAACTTGTATCTTCAGCACATTCTAGACATTTTAATTTTTTATTTTAATTCTGTATCTAACACTATTTAATTGTTCTTATCTGCACTGGACTAGCTCAAAAGACTGCTGCCCTTCCTGGTGTTCTAAGCTTCATTTTCATTATTAATTAAATTTAGTGATTATTTACTGATAGATAGCAGATGTGGAAGGTCATTCTACAGAGTAGGTACAGAATGGGTGATACTGCAGCTTTCCTCATCCTTCCCAGAGATGTGTCTCAGGCTACATCTAGATTACAGGCTTCTGTCGGAAGAAGCTGTGTGCAGCACTCCTCTGTCTGTGAGGGGTTGTGCCTATGACCTTGTGTCTATCCTGCTTGACCCAGGCCACCCCCTCCACCTCCGTGGCAGGACGTATGTGGCCTCCCCGAGCCTGGCGGCAGGATCCCACCTATGCTCGGGCGGCCTGCTGCATCCGTGTGTCGTACACAGATGCTGCACGGGGTTGCACATGCACAGACCGCAGCATGATGTCCAGCCCGAGCGATGCTTGCTCCCTGCCTCATCTGTGCCCACACTTCCCCTTTCTCCATGTGTGACAAAGTGAGATCACTCACCTGAAGATCCCTCCCTGGCATCCAAGGAGGCCTGGGAGACGTCCTGGATCACTGGCACCGCCTTGAGGTACAGGGTGATGGTGCCTGTCTCTTAAATAATTGAGATCACTTTTTTACTCGGAATACTACGTGAAATAATATTTAACTTTTGTGTTTGAACAAAAAAAAATGAGTTACTTCTTGTATTGTAAGGTATACAATACATATTTCATTTACATGAGTGTCAGTCTTTTAAAGCAATATTCGTTTTATACACAGTTTATCTACTGGAGAAATAGAAGGCAGAGCACAAAGTCTTGGTCTCTTTGAAACGTTGAAAACCAACCCTGAAGCCCTATATGAACACCTGGCCAAATACGTTTACCCGGGTATTGAAGGCATGGATCACCAGCGTTTGCTTTATTATTTTACTCTTCTCCAAAACTGTGGTTGTTCAGAGTTTGTAAAGCATGCTGTCAAACCTGAAACTCATATACAGCTGCTGAAAAAATTTAAGGCCATTGCACCAGGTATGAATTTTATTGGTTTTTACTTTATATCTGTAGTTAGTTATCACATTTATTCCATTTTCTGAGTAGTGACAAGGTCACACTTTCTAGTTTCAAATCATCAGATTCTCTTTTATAAGCAAATCAGGTAGATGCAGGAGCACTATAGGTTTCTTATGCCTCAGAGGCAAATTAACCTTTTTGGTTTATTGCATGTTTAGATTAGTTTTTCATGGCAAGCTACAGAAAAATGCACTGAAGGAAATAATTATGAACAGTGTTTTGATATTTTAGTTGAGTAAATATTTTAGCTTATAAAATGGTATATAAGTATTTAAATGTATCTTTGTATCATTAAAATGAAATTCTCCATTCTGCACAATAGCCTTACTCTTGATTGGTACTCTTTTTGTATGCCTGTATGTTTATACCTGCCTCTGGAATTTCCACTACATGCATCTGACGAAATGGGTCTTTGCCCTCGAAAGCTTATGCTCCAATATATCTGTTAGTCTACAAGGTGCCACAGGACTCTTCATCGCTTTTGCAGATTCAGACTAACATGGCTACCCCTCTGATACTTGACACCATGAGTGTATGAAGAGTATTAAAAAAACAAAAACAAGCACTTTTTCCGCTCTTGACAGAAACATAGTTTATGTAAAATGTGCTCTTCTTAAACTGCCTGAAATGCATATTGTGTATTGGTATACCTTTCAAAAATCTTAATTATTTTTATATATATATAACATATTTTTTCTTTTAAAAGTTTATTATTTTAATAAAGTTGTTAATTTTAATATTACTTTTTTCTTAAAGAGAGATAGCTTTAACTATTATTTTTTTTCAATCAAGTCTAGCAACTGGCATTTATGTAATTATATTTTTAAACAGGGGCTAGTAGCATCCCCATTATTAAAGTTGCCTGTCACTTCCCGTTATAATCATTAACTTTTACAATTCATCTTTGCCCCCTTCCCCTCTCCCCAGTTCATATTGGACCCTGCAAAGGGCTGATCAGCCCCTGGAAGTGTAGCGTATACTCCTCTTCCAGTGGCTTTCATGAGAATTCCTGATTCTCATTTCTCAGGGGGTTGCTCCGCACTTCACTGACTCAAGCCCAACATTAACAGAAACCCCAGCTGGCATAAGGAGCGAAGCAACTATCTCCAGTGTAATAGCTCCGCTGTTAACATGGGCAACATGCCCGGAGGCTCTTGCACATCAGTGGATGGGACTGAAGCATCATAAGTTCTCAGCCCTCGTGAAGATCTTCTCCTTGAGCCTCCTTAGCATTGCCTCAGCATCCTCTGGTTAGCTGTGTAGGAGGGTGAGGAAATTCAATGGACACAAGGCCCCAACTCTGATCTGACCACCAACCTATGTAAATCAGGGGCCACTTGTCTGAAGTCATTGGAATTATTCTGCTGGAAAATTGGGAGAAGACTGGACTCAGGCCCCAAGTAATTATTAAAGAGAAGCCTTCCAAGTATCCCTCTTGTGTCCCCAGTTCTGCTCCCACACTTCTATAAACTGGTGAGACTACAGAGTTACTTACACTAAAGGAACAAATCCAAGAGTTTTTTACATTCCTTGTATGAATCATTTTTGTGTCAACCTGTGGAACTCCTTGCCAGAGGAGGCTGTGAAGGCTAGGACTATAATAGAGTTTAAAGAGAAGCTAGATAATTTCATGGAGGTTAGGTCCATAAAAGGCTATTAGCCAGAGGGATAAAATGGTGTCTTTGGCCTCTGTTTGTCAGAGGCTGGAGAGAGATGGCAGGAGACAAATCGCTTGATCATTGTCTCCTCTCTGGGGCACCTGGTGCTGGCCACTGTTGGCAGACAGGATACTGGGCTTAGAAGGACCTTTGGTCTGACTCAGTACGGCCGTTCTTATGTTCTTATGTTATAAGACCCTGATTTCTGTTTGTGTATAATTTTGCCAAATTTTAATCTTTTGTACTGAATCTTAATGTGGTAGATGTCTACCTGAAGCAGAATGTTTTCAGTAAACATTTTAGTACACAGTCTTGTTCTGTTCTGGGAATGAATGAGCGTTCCATAGTAAATGAGGTATTGTTTTAAGATCGCTGTCTCATTTGTTGCAGAATTTGGAAGGTGCATTGAGAATAATACAGAGGATTGCAGGAAGAGAAAGGACTGTCTCATGGTTAAATCAGTCAAATGCTGCATGGGATAATTGGATTCTGTCCCAGCTATTTCTACATAGTTCCTATGCGAAGCTAAGCAAAACACTTAAACTAAACTTTCCAGAGGTTGCTACTGATTATTTGCCATTCGATCCAGATATGTGATTATTCCTCTTTACTCGGATCTGGTTAGGCCTGATCTGGAGTATTGTGTCCAGTTCGCAGCCCCCAATTACAGGAAAGATGTGGATGTGTTGGAGAGGGTCCAGCAGAGGGTAACCAAAATGATTAGGGGTCTGGAGCATATGACCTACGAGGAGAGGCTGAGGGAGTTGGGTCTATTGATAGCAGCCTTCAACTTCCTGATAGCAGCCTTCAAACTCTTGTCTCATTTGTTGCAGAATTTGGAAGGTGCATTGAGAATAATACAGAGGATTGCAGGAAGAGAAAGGACTGTCTCATGGTTAAATCAGTCAAATGCTGCATGGGATAATTGGATTCTGTCCCAGCTATTTCTACATAGTTCCTATGCGAAGCTAAGCAAAACACTTAAACTAAACTTTCCAGAGGTTGCTACTGATTATTTGCCATTCGATCCAGATATGTGATTATTCCTCTTTACTCGGATCTGGTTAGGCCTGATCTGGAGTATTGTGTCCAGTTCGCAGCCCCCAATTACAGGAAAGATGTGGATGTGTTGGAGAGGGTCCAGCAGAGGGTAACCAAAATGATTAGGGGTCTGGAGCATATGACCTACGAGGAGAGGCTGAGGGAGTTGGGTCTATTGATAGCAGCCTTCAACTTCCTGATAGCAGCCTTCAAACTCTATTGAAGAGTGAGGGGGGATTTGATAGCAGCCTTCAACTTCCTGATAGCAGCCTTCAAACTCTATTGAAGAGTGAGGGGGGATTTGATAGCAGCCTTCAACTTCCTGATAGCAGCCTTCAAACTCTATTGAAGAGTGAGGGGGGATTTGATAGCAGCCTTCAACTTCCTGAGGGGAGGTTCCAAAGAGACTGGAGAAAGGCTGTTCTCAGTAGTGACAGATGGCAGAACAAGGAAGAATGGTCTCAAGTTGCGGTGGGAGAGGTCCAGGTTGGATATTAGGAAAAACTATTTCACTAGGAGGGTGGTGAAGCACTGGAATGGGTTACCTAGGGAAGTAGTGGAGTCTCCACCCCTAGAGGTGTTTAAGTCTTGGCTTGGCAAACCCCTGGCTGGGTTGATTTAATTGGGATTGGTCCTGTCTTGAGCAGGGGGCTGGACTCGATGACCTTCTAAGGTCTCTTCCAGCTCTATGATTCTGTGATTTGTGTTTCTCATTTTCTCAGTGCCCCACTTGATCCCACAAAGTCTGATTTCTGGAAGTGTTTAGTCTTCACAGCTGCAGTCAATGTTTTGAATCCAGAAAGTGCTTTATAATGATAAGGACTCTTTAAAACAACTGATTAGGTCCAAAGGCTTCTCAAGTTGAGCACCGAAAATTAGTGTATTATTTGACCTTAATCTTTGTGCCTTAGCCTCCCAGTTGAAATATAGAGATAGTAATACTTCCGTATTGCACAGAAGTGTTGCGAAGATGGATTGATTAATTAAACACTGAGATGCTATAGTAATGCAGACCATAGGAAAAACCATGAGGATATTAATAATTCTGTCCTTATAGCAGGGTCTGAACAGTATGCTGTAAATTAAGGCCTGGGGCTACACATTGAACTATGAGGACAAAAGAGAGTACTGAATGCTGCTTATTCAGTGTGATCATGGTCTGTCTGTGCATTGAATGAGGCAGTAGTCTTGGAAAAATTAGCATGTAGTCATGAAATTAAAATCTGTCGTCATAAATACACAGGAAGGAGATGACTTAAAAGTGTACAAAGAGCCTTAATTGTGGTATTTCCTAACTTGAGTTTTTCCATCAGCAGTATCCATAAGGAAATACCTCTAGTGACCCCTGGAGTAGTATGCCCATGGTGCAGTATAAATGGCGCTTACTATTCTCTATAACAATGTTTCTTAAACTGTATTCCGTGGCACTCTTGTGCCGCGAGCCAGTAGAAGGTGTGCCACGGAGAACAACAGAGTTCAAAATGGCTGCCCTTAAGGGGGCAAGCGACCTTTTTTTCTCAATAACTCCCCTTCCCCCACCCGACCTTTTTGGGAGGAGGGGGGTCAATATCACCCCCCCCTTTTTTTCTCAACAAAAAAATCATTGGTGTTCTTCATTTAAAAAAAACAAAACAATTAGTGTTTGGCATTGCTCTATAAACCTTGATTCCTTCTTGCTGCCTGCGAAAGTGCATCAGAACTGTTGTGTTTCAGACAGCTTATTTTTCGCTATGAAAGCAGTTACTTTTATGTAGATAGTTATCTTAGTAGTGTTAGTCAACTAAGTATCTTGGTTGGGACTTGGTTTAGGGATGGGGCATGCTCCGGTCTCCAGGTTTTAAGCCATATTTAGGGTACAAGCGCCCAAACCCAGGTGATAACCTGCAGAGTGGCTACCTGACATGCTTGGGTGAGGGACAGATTAGTGATAAGCATTGCATTTGCAAGTCATTCAAGCAGCAGATGAAAAAAGAAAGGGACATTCACCTCATGGTTTTCCTAATGCAGTCAGCACTAGCCCTGGCATTAATGATGCTAAGAGGCAGGTAATGGACTAATCTTATGGTCGATACAATTTGTATTTACCATACAATTAGTCAGTAAGGGAAGGTCTCTGTCCTGTCAGTCCAGGAGCTACCCCCATTGCAGCTCACAGTTTAAATGTAGTAGGAGCAGGGCATGCAGGTCCTGGACTGCCATGAGCTGGGACCGAGTACTTTTATCTCATGTTGGTTCGGGACTGCTGCAACTCTTCATTTTAAACGTAGTAGGAGCTGGGTGGCTCATGCTCTTACTACATTTAAAATGCAGAGGTGCAGGGGTCCAGACTGGAATGATCCAGGACTGCTCGAACTTGGCTTGCACCGTGTCCAGCAGCCCCTGTTTACAGTGGCCCGAGCTGGCTGGGCAGAAGCTGCTCCAGCACCAGCCTCTGCCCACCGCCAACCCAGGCCGCCGCAGCTAGGGGCTGCTGCCTCTAATAGAGGCAGCAGCACTGGGGAGGGCAGGCAGCACCGGCGAGACAGTGCTGGGAGGAACCCGCTATTAAACCGGCTCCCTCAACACTGGCTCCTGTTTCCCCAGCCCCGTCCTCTTGCTGTCTCTCATACAGATGCAGTAAGGCGGGGGGAAGCAAGTAGTTGTAGTTGAGTACTTGACTCAACTACTCACTCACATTGCCTACCTGTCAGTGGAGATCAGGTGGAATTTGGCATCGTGTGCTGTGATCTCAGTGTGGAGGCCCTACTGTACTGGATCCCCGGATACCAAGGAGGAAGCCTCGGATTCCAACATTGAGCAAGAGCCCCTGCCTACCAGCATAGGCAGTACTGCCCCCTTCTGTGATGCTGCACCCACAAGGATGGCCACAAGAGTAGTGGCCCGTCCCCTGGTTTCCCTGGGACCCATGGGGGTTCACTCAACCCGCTCAGCCAACACGCTTGACTGTGGGGATCTTAGAATGGCCCTGAAGCTCTCCCTGCCCCCAAGCAATGAGCCCCTGAGAAAGATCGGGCTCCATTCCAGGACACCCCGGTCTGCCCTGCAGGAGAGGAGACAGATGTTGCACACCGGCATCCGCCTCAACCTCCCTATGAGAAGCCATTGCAAGCTGTTTGTACCTAATACCACAAGAAGATGTCACGGCATTTCAAGAGCTCCTGATCTCAATCTGGCACTCCAGGCGGAGGAGCTTGCGGAGCCAGTGGATGCTCTATTCAATGTTATGAGCTCCCCAGCACCTGCTTGGCGGTCCGTACCTTTGCATGAAGAGCCTGAGAAATCACCATGGCTATAAAGCAGAACCCCATGTCTGTCCTGCCCATCTCCAAAGGAAGTATTTTGTCCTGGCTAGGGACCATAACTACCTCTACACCCACCCAGCTCCAAACTCCCTCCTGTTGGAGGCATCAGCTAGGAGAGGCAGGGATAGCTGGAAGCAACGCCTAAGGACAAAATCTCTAAGAAACTAGACTCATTTGGATGAAAGGTTCATTCCTCATTCAGTTTACAAGTATGGGTGGCTAACCACTGAGCCGTTCCTGGCCATTACGACTTCAGCATGTGGAGAACCATGACTAAGTTCAAGGAGACACTCTCAGATGATTCCAGAAAGGAGTTCAAAGCTCTCCTGAAAGAGGGAGCAGTGGCAGCCAGAGTGACCCCGCAGATGGCTTTTGATGCAGCAGATTTGGATGCTCACATAATGGCATTTGCCATTAGTATGCATTGGGCATCTTCACTACTTCTCTAAGGTCTGTCATCAGAGGTGCAACAATCTCTACAAGACTTCCCATTCAACGGCCATGCTCTGTTTGCTGAACAGACAGATTCAAAGATACCTGGGCTTAAGAATTCTCCAAGTATGCTTAAAACCCTGGGGTTGTATGTTCCCACTCCTACTCGAAAGTGGTTCAAGCCTTTGTACCCCACCAGTCAGGGTAGCCAGCCCTACTAGGAGCCCCTTGCTAAGAAGAGCTAGTCCTGCAAGTACTGGCCAAGTTAGTCATCAGCTCTAGCCCATTCAGGCTCAAGCCTAATCCGAAAGGCCATCTAAGACCTGAGAGTTCTCCGTGTGTACCTTCACAAGCTCAAGTTTTGCATGGTCTCCCATTGCACACTGTCAGTATGAATCCACCCGAAGTTAGAATTCACTTTGTCTAGAAAAAATATGGCGATGATAGTTCTGTCAATGTTCTTTCAGTCCTTGACTTTTGTGCATAGGATTCCAATGACACTCATAGCCGTTGAGTAGATGCAACTTTAATAACCACTTCTGTTTTTTCTCTTTCTGCCAATAGATCTCAATTACAAAAAACTAACAGATGAAAATGTGAACCCTCTGGGGGTATTGCAGCCCATCCTTACAAGTCAGAACGTCTTATCCATTTCCAGACTTGCTCCCAAAATCCCTGAGAGAGATGGTACTATGCTCTCACCAAGCTCTGTTTACACCACCTGGTTACAGAAACTCTTCTGGAATGGTGATCACCAGCTCATTAAAAAAATGCCAGAAACAATCCCAGAATGGTTAAGCGCATATGGTACATGTGCAAAGTACTTTGATAGACTCTGCCCAGGAGATATTGTCACTTTCATTGATGACATTACGTTTTCTTCAAAGGCTGTCACCAAGGTAAATATAATATCTTTTACAAAATAATAGCAAGTTTGGTTAAGCTCTTTTGATAAAGTTTCATTTGAGTAGTTTATATCTTTCATTTCCATCTCTTTTTCTTCTAGGGAAATGTTGAATTAATGCACTTATATTAATAGGCAACAAACAAAAACCCAAACCTTCATTTTCATGTACAGAATTGCTACTGTGGGGGAAAAAAAGTGTTTTAATGTTACATTTTTATCCATCTAAAATGATTACATGTAAAGGCCTCATTTTTTAAAAAAATATGATGGGGTAGCCTGGCCCTTTTAAATGTATTGCCACAATAGGAACACACTTTTATTAGGACTGTTAAAGTTATCATTATTAGTTAGAGGCTGAGGGTACATCTAGACTACATGCCTCTGGCGACAGAGGCATGTAGATTAGACTACCCGGCATAGGAAAATGAAGCGGCGATTTAAATAATCGCTGCTTCATTTAAATTTACATGGCTGCTGCGCTGAGCCGATCAGCTGTTTGTCGGCTCAGCGCAGTAGTCTGGACGTTCCGCGGTCGACATCAAAGGCATTTGTCGACCTCCCAGGTATGCCTCATCCCAGGAGGTTAAGCGTTTGTAAACCAATAAATATTTTCCCAGTTTGTTCTTAAGCTGCATGTGGCATAAATATTAGCTAAGGCATTGTTAGACCATGTGCTGTACTTAAACTTTTGCAATATTTGTTTTAAAAATATATAGTTTACTTTTTTATGATTTTTAAAAAATTTTTGCACCAATGTACCAGTTTGTTTTTAATAGTAATTTTTACTTCTATTTGTTTTGTACCCTTAAGACACTATACAAGTGTAAACAGAGACACTAAGCTTTGTTCCTTTGGGCTCGACCCTCATATGATCATGATTGCAATATAGTGGAGCCCATCTCATCTTTTACATTTGCCAGGGCCATCTTTTTACATTTCTGTCCCCATTTTTAGGCACTGTGAAAGTGCTTGCAGTCTGTTACTTAACAACAGGGGACGGTGCTCCTTTCTTTTCCTGGATTTCAACCGCTTTTTCCAATTTCTTATTTTCCTTGCTTTACTTGTTTGAGCAAATCATATGCTTGGACAGCCTGTTGCCGTGCCAGCAGAGCAGCTTTCCAGTGCTTGACAGACTATGTTGCTTCCCCTATTTTCCTTATTTATTTGGGAAGCTAGTATAGTGGAATGCGGTTTAAGCCATTTTACTGCCATAGACATTAATTGCAGAGTTCTAGCTTTTTTACTTTTATTACTATTCTTTAGAGCTTTATTTTATACCATTGCTTTACAAATGCCAGTCCATGTTTCCCCACTTTCTATTTTAAATAGACCCCCTTTACTGGCAATCCAGTGGATCCATTCTTCATCAAACTCTGTGAGGATTTTCAGGGGAGGGGATAAGGGGTTCTCTAACTCATTATTTTAAGTTATGTTAGATTGCAATTCCTACAGGGGCAGATTGCTTACTTACCAGATCAGTGGTCGGGGTCACCAATGTAGTAGTTAGGACAGCGATAGAGTTAAATTCAAGATTCACTGGTGTGCCTTCCTGACAGGTCTCTTGCTCTGTCAGTGATGATAAACGTTTGGCTGCATGCATTTTTATACGCTCACTCAGTATATCATGCCAGCTCTGCTCAGGTAGCTAGTGTAATAGACTTTGAGATCCCCCAAAGACCACAGACTCAGATAAGATACGAAAGCACCCGAGTCAGGTTTATTGTCGAACAAAGTACATTAATAGTTGTTGGTAGACAAATAGCCTCCGAACCCTTACGTATTTGTACCCAGGATAATAGACGTGGCTCAGTCGATAGCATGGATTTCACTAGGCCAGCCAAAGAATTAAGTGAGGTACCCCAACATTTATAGACAGTAATAAACAATCCTGAGATACACACCCATACGTATCACCTTACGTATTGATGACACGTTTGGCACCTTGTAGTTTCCTCCAAAGCATTCACTCTCCATTGTTATGCTTTCACTCTTGTTGTTTTAAACCATTTTATTATGTACTCAGCTGGTTGTCCTTATTACTGTCCTGGTGGCATGTACTTCCTATGCTTCTATCCATGCTAGCAGTTCTACTGCTGAGAGACACTGACTTGCAGGCAAACATTTGCTTTTGACTCGGCCTGTCTATTTCTCATAGTATAACTCTTACTTATTTTGGTTCAAGCACCAGGCCCATGCTTCTGGCTCCGCCTTTCTCCTACACCAGCTTCTGGCAGTAAAAAGTTTAGGGACTCTAGAACATGGGTTTATGTCCCTGATGATCTTTGCTAATTATCATTGATGGATTATCCGGGTAACCAGTTTGGTGGATCTCAGGAATGTGGTGGACATAATATGGACTTATCTAGAATTCAGCAAGGTGTTTGACACAATCATGACTTTCTAATAAGTTAGCCAGAGAAATGTGGGCTTGGCAGAACTACCCTTAAGTGGTTACTTGGGATGTCAGTGGTTAACTGGTTAACCAATAAGTACCCTTGCTTGGTTAACTGGTGGCCTGCCCAGGCTAGAGCAGCACCCTGACCATGGTAGTCCCAGTCTGGCGGAGCAGCCTGCCATACCATAAAACATGACAAGTAGTTATTTTTAGCTTTGCTTATTCCTCCACTTAGTATTTTAATGCTGATAAATTCAACTTACTGCATATCCGCTATCTTTAGATTTTGACTTTTTATAGATGCCCATCTCTCACTTCAAACCATATCCCATTTAGAATCTGGATTAGTCATGTAATGATCTCCCACATCCCATTCACTCCTTTAGCCTTCAACTCTGATCTTTTAACAGCTTCAAAACAAAAATCTAATTCATCCTTTTTCTCGCTAGCTGTCTTTTAAAAAATTGGTTCTTGTTGGAACTAAAATAGGGATGTGATTCTAAATGCCTCAAAAACCAATGAATTAATAAATCAGAGTCCTGACAATTAGTTTAAAACGTATCCTACACATCTCCAGAATAGGAGTTAGCTCTGATTAGGTTAGAAAGAGGGGTTAAAGCAATGATTCTTTGATGCATTATTTATAGGTGACATTATCCCCCTGTTTAGAGAGATATTTATCCATATTAGAGATATAAATCCCAAACCAGGGATGATCATGAAATATAAACTTCTTAGAGAAAACTCAACTATGTGTCTTAAATAAGATGAGTCTCTTCTCATGTATGGCTTATCAGGAAAGATGCCTGACCATAATTCATAGGTGCCAAGTTTCTGCAGCTATATGTGAGACGTTTGTTTTCCCCCATTTGGTGCCCTCTGCTCCTGAGTTGTAAGACCCAACCAAGCCTGAGTATCTACATCTCTGTTATACACAAAGGGCCACCCTTACTCATTCTGCTGTGAGAGAGATTTTCTCACTGGCAAATGTCACACTGCCGACCCTGGGCAGGGCTGTAGCCAGCCTACAAAAGTCGGAAGACTTTTGAGAGCTATTGGAAGGCGAGGTAACAAATCAGTTATATGGGGGGAGCCCATAGTTATCCCTGAGAAAATCATGAAATGTCCTCTTCCCTACCACAATAAGTTAATTCCTGCCATCCCTTTCTTCTCTAAAATTACCACAACCACTCCTTCTCTTGTATAGGCCTGTGCTGCTGCCAGCATTCCTCAGAATCCTCACACTCTGGTCCAGCTGGACCTTTCCTCTCCTAAGCTGAGAGGAAGAGCAGGAGGAAGGGGAGTTATAGTGAGGGGTGTATTACAGAGGCCCATTTCCACCCTATCTTCTTCCCAGCAGAAACTACATTGCCTCCACTAGATATGCGCTCATTGAAACTTTTATTGCAATCCCCCTTCACCAGTATAACTGCAGTCCATGTGTGCTTGCCTATTTACTCTATTTCCTGAGCATTAGGACCTCTCAGCAAGATGTGAGAAAAGAGGTCTCCCAATTCTCAAGGCTCTGTGTGACGAGCCACAGCTAGCCTTATTCTTCTTCCTCTCCATGAATTTCCTTCCTGTGCCTCTTTTAATCAAGCCATAGGCTGATGGGACCAATTAAGTTTTCATCTCATGCAGCCCACTAGCTTGATAAGTTAATTACCCCAAATCAGTTTCAACTGTGGCACTAATTAGCTCACTCACTCACTGTGTGTGCTCTGTTACAGGGTGGAGTAGGTAGATTGGATGGGGAGGTTGTGCGAGAGGATTCAGAGTGATGTCCCATGGCAGCATGACCGGAACACTTGTAGCACTGCTCTTCTGAAGAAGTGCCCACTTGAGCAGATGACAAAAAAAAACAAAAACAAAAACAAAAAACTGTGTGCTTGTTAGTGAGGTGGTGTCCTCAGATTCCTCTCCATAGCAACAGGAGTGGGAAGAGGAGAGCAGTGAAATAGGACTCCATACCTCCCCAGGTGCAATAGGGAAGGAGGTGCAAAGACCTAGGAAACTGATAGCAGGGCCAGCTCGAGCCCTTTTGCCACCCTGGGCTTGAGCCCGCGGCCCTGTCCCTCGGGGCGCACGGCGCATGCGTGCACCAGCCCTGTGCAGGGCCCCGCAGCTTCAGGGGGAAGGGCGCTGCTGGCCGGCGCCTTGGAGCCGGTGCTGCAGGAGCCAGGTGCACAACTCCTGATGGCAGCTGTCAGGGACGCCGCATACCCCTTACAGCTCATCGGTTGGCGCCCTGGGCAGCTGCCCGGCTCGCCCATGCCTCCATCTGGCCCTGACTGATAGGCAGGGCTCTCTTCCTCCCCTCCAATTCATCCCCTTACAGGGTCAGCACTGTTTTACTTTGGCATGAAATCTCCCTTATCAGTGTGACATCACAACTATTATAGTGGAGAATATAAAATAAGGCAATGCACAACTGTGGGCATTTCGGACAGATTTGATAATTATGACACACACACATGCATGCAGAGATAACAGGAAACATGAACGGTATGTGAAGGATGCTGTAGTTGCTGGGTAATTGTGATACTACTGCTGATTTTACACTGCTAGGTGTGAATGTACTGATTCTTCCTGTTGTG